TAACCTCGCTGGATTTTCACTTCCTTGTAAACTGCCATTTGTTATGTTTTTATCCCGTAAATTCCCATCAAGTCATGTCACTGCCAGCTGCGTTTGTATGCCTTCTGATGTTTTTTTCAAGCCTCTGTGGAAATTGTTACTTGCACTTAAGATTGTAGTTTTGTCAACTCTCACTGCTAAGAGCAGACTCATTCTGCATACCTGTTTCTTTGAGATTGTAAAATTTTGAAAAAGATCAGCAGATTAGCATCCCATGTGTTCTTAATAATGCTCTTGCGAAAATTTTTGTTCATCAGTCTGGAGAAAATCACAACTTCGCACAATATACTGTACGAAGCAATAAAAGCGAAGAATGAAGAAAGCGGTTAAGCGGCTGTTTCTAAAGTTTGTTTCGAAAAGATTATTTAGCGCAGGAGTAAATCTGAGATGATCCAGCAGAGAGGAAGATAGGAACTACGTTGTGAGAAAATTGGAACTACGTTTTGGCAAAAAAGGTTAGGTATAAATTTTGCTCAGATTTCAAAAAAAAAAATTGCGGGAACCGGAGAAGTGTACTCACAGAATACAACTGTTCACAAATAATCGGCTCTTTTTCATAATTTGACAATAATTTTTGCAAAAACAAAGGAAACTTCAGAAGATTTTGCCAAACATTGACACGTCTGAACAGCTTTTTATGTAAACCTCATCGAATTTTTCACAGTTCTTCACTAACAAGAAATAAATCATAAGGAAATGAATAACAGTATTAACATCTCAGCTGATTTTCAAAAAACGAGTAGCTCCGAAATTCAAGTGGCTGCTCATGCATTTTTCTTTTACCTTCTTGATATTCCACTGGTAACCAGCAGCCTGCGTGAGTAAGAACAAGCTCAGAACCCAAATCGGGATCTCCACTGGCTGCTCTTCGAATTTTTATTTGTTAAATATAATAAATGAGAAATACTTCTTTGTTTGTCTCGTTTTATTAGCACTTATTCTGGAAATGGATGAAAAAACAAGTCAGTGTGGAAGTTAATATAGTCAGGCTAGAAATATGCTGTATTAGCACAATGTTGTGGATCCATCTTTCACTGTTAGAAAATTTGCGTGTCACTATCTACTATTCCCCACATTTTTGTAAGCAGTGCCAACGAACTATTATGTATTTTTTTTTGCAAGACTTCCATGCAAATCAGCTTCTTCTTTTTCCCCACTTTACGTAGGGGAAAAGAAGAAACTGATTTGTAACAAATCAGATTCGTTAAAAGCATTAGCTCATTTCTGTTGTTGCTTTAAGAAGTAGGATTTGAGACAAAATATTATCCCCGTCACAGCGAAAGATCAAAGAAGTTAGCAGCCTTTCCAACAGCCGCTTAGAAAGCAATTGGGAATAATTTGAGTGGTGAGATCCTATCTCAGCAGTTAATTGCGGGCAAGCCTACCGCTGGTTTCTTCCATAAGGTGTCTTGAGAAACAAACTAAGGGCCATTAGATTTCGGAGATATTAAACATATCAATAATAAACGTACACTGAAAAACGTAGGGGGTTAATTCTCCCATAACGTAAATTCAATGAATCCTAAATTGTATATCCCAGGGCCTCGGAAGAAAAAAAAGAAACTAGTGAGCAGGATTCTGAAAAACCTCCACATTTCAGCGTACTCGCAATAAGACTTTTCATATTACTTCAGACATAAATTTTTTGTGAAGCTTTATGAATTTCGTTTTTTCAAGTACTAATTTGAGAAAAATTTTGTTCTGCAAAATTCTTTGCTTCCTTTAAAAATTGTTTAGTGAGCATAAACTTTCTGCTGGCGGAGTGTTCTGTGAATGCTCACAATGCACTTTTGCATATTTGCAATGTTCTCCCTGATCCACCCTGCCCAACCTTCCCTTCTCCCCCTTCCTGATGCCCCCATCCCGTCACCCGTTTCTCTCACCCCCACTCGATCTGCTCTGGCATGATTTGGAAACATTGAAACGATAAGGCCCTTTCGAGCCGTGTGGTATTTGATTTACGGTTCAAATTTCAAGATTTTTTTAAATTTTTAGGTTTTTAACCTGCAACTTTACTTTTGTGATGTTTTTGGCACAGAAAAATTCAAAAATAGCTGGGATCTTTGTTTTGGAACAAGAAAATTTAATGGTTCCGTGGGAATTATTTTACTACGATTCGAACACT